CCAGGCCGTCCTATTTGCGCCCCAACCCCTGGATCAGCCCTGCCGTGTGCGCGACCCAGGGAGGCGGGGTAGGCACCGAGGGATCGGGCCTGCCATCTGCCACCCAGGGAGTGGGCCTAAGCCAGCAGGTGGTTATCTCCTGGGGGGTCCCATACTGTGAGAGGGCACAAGTGTGGGGCTGAGACACCCCCGCCACCCCCCTCCCCTGCCAGTGCACAAATTTTTGTGCACCGGGCCTCTAGTACTAAAATGAATGAGAAAAACAAATTGTATAGTGGACTGCAGAATACAATGCAGCTTATAGTACTATTTCCCCAGTGTTTCCCAGATTAGCCATGATTTTTTTACCTGCACTAATGACTAGAGGCCCAGTGCACAGATTCGTGCACTGGTGGGAGGGTCCCTCGGCCTGGCCTGCGGGGATTGGGCTGAAACAAGCTCTCCAACATCTCCCGAGGGGTCCCAGATTGCGAGGGGGCACAGGCCAGGCCGAGGGACCCCCACCGGTGCATGATCGGGGCCAGGGAGGAACCACGGGAGGGCTCCAGGGTGTGTCCAACCAGTCTCGCCCAGTCCCAATCGGCCAAACCCCAGCTGCAAGCTAACCTACCAGTTGGAGCACCTGCCCCCTGGTGGTTAGTGCACATCATAGTGACCAGTCGAATGAATGGTCGGACACTTAGCATATTAGGCTTTTATTATATAGGATTTTCTATCTATTAATTTCTCTTAATAAATTTAGCTTTTCCTACACAATAAAATCAATTCACAGACTTGATGCTATGCTGGTCTTCACTTGCCCTTCCCTCACTCCATTCTTGATAGGCTGTCCCACAAAACTGGCTTCTGGAAGAACTGGCCTACAAGAGATAGTAGAGGACACCAGATATTAGAGGAGGGGAGAAAAGAGAAGTCTTTCTTCCTGTGCTCTCTCTCTGCTTAAGTTCTCCCTCTCCAAAACTACAGTTCCAGCAAGGTGGCTCCTTCTCCATTCATTACACCATTTCTTCCCTTTATCCTTCCAGTACTAGGGATGGTAGCAGCTTCTGCTACTGTTAATCTCTGTGACTCCTGCTATCCTGTATTCCTTTAAACCACCAGCATATCTCTAAGTAGACTCTCTTAAAGATACTCCACTTGCACCATCCAGAGTGAACTGTTTCTTGGTGGGTTCCTATCCTACTTGCTAAAATTTTTTTGGTCTAATTAACATGAAAACTAAAAAGTCATCCATGTTGTCAGATGCATCTTCTTTATCAGCAATGAACACATGTGCCACACTTGGAAAAGTACTATTATACCCAAAAGTTACATCCAACTTTTATCTCTGCAAAAATACACAAATAGGCAAGAAAAGAGTAAATTTTGGTGAATAGTTTAGAACAGTGGTTCTCAACCTTCCTAATGCCTCGACCCTTTAATACAGTTCCTTATGTTGTGGTGACCCCAAACCATAAAATTATTTTCCTTGCTACTTCATAACTGTAATTTTGCTACTGTTACGAATCGTAATGTAAATATCTGATATGCAGGATGTATTTTCATTGTTACAAATTGAACATAATTAAAGCAT